AAAAAAGTAAGAGTCTATTTTGGGGGGTTCCCTGATTTGATTTGTAAAAGGTATGTCTACCATATTTTTATTTCAGATAACATTTCAGCTAGCAAGCCTAGTATATGTCAAATTTTCTACACAAATATTGCTTCCATGCAGGAAATCTGTAGCACTCATAGATATGCAGTTGCATAGAGTAGACATATATGCTTAAGTCCTCTATATGTGAAGATGGTTGGAAACCCTGTTCGGTGAACACTGATAATGTAAACGTACTGTATTGTATATCCATTGAGCATTTACACCTGACCAGTACATAAGTCTTTCACTATTAAGTAGAGAAATGGAATTTGGTATGTATAAAACTGATCTTTTTTCAAGAAGGAAAATATTTTGTGGAATGGATGTTTTAAGTGCATGTTGTTTTCTGCATATTTCTACAAATATGAATTGCTGCTAGCTTTGATTTTCTGTCCATCTATACATGCAATTACAATCTGTCCACTTAATAATTCTGGATAAACGAGGCCTATTGAGCCTCTAGGTTTCTCTGCATGAATAGAGGGGTAAAGAGTAAGAAATAAGACCTTGATGGAGATGCCTTAGGCTAAACGGCTAAAGCATTTTTAATGTCCAGAACTCCAGATAATGTGTCAGAAGACAGACACCTCAACTATAAGAAGGGGGAGGCACAACACCATCAGACGTGCAAGATTTTGTTATTATTATATCTAATCTCCATTTTAAAACATAGTTTTAGCCTTTCTATGGAGTTGATTTCATGGTCTAGACCACTAGGGGGGCTAAAAGGAGAATAATCCAAGGAGATATCTTGCACAGTGATACGTTGTGTTAGAGAAGTATTTTTTTTAGAGACCTTTGTCATCTTTTATTAACTGATTGGCTGATTGAGGCTCTTTGCTCTCTGTCTGATTTTTTCCCCTGTAGATTTTTATTTTAAAATTCAAAACCATTGGGGGTGCAAAACAGAACAGTTTGTCTCCAGCATTTGGCGGATTTAAGGTGCCAGTAGGTTACGTGATTCTGGAGGTGTATTATCAAAAACAGGAAGTGGTTTATCTGATTGGTCCTTTAGGGAGGCAGGTATTCTATGGATGAACTGTTCCGTTTTACATGTAACTAGTAGTTAGCATGCTGCAAAGCATCATGCCTTGGTGGTGCAGTGGTTAGAATGCAGTATTGCAGGCTAACTCTGCCGACTGCCAGCAGGTCGATTCTCACCGGCTCAAGGTTGACTCAGCCTTCCATCTTTTCGAGGTCGGTAAAATGAGGACCCAGATTGTTGGGGGCAACATGCTGACTCTATAAACTGCTTAGAGGGGGTTGTAAAGCACTGTGAAGCGGTATATAAGTCTAAGTGCCATTACTATCCTCAAATATCATGTTGGCCCCACATAAAATTCAAATATGTTTTTAGAAAATAAAATTAGGCACTGCAGCCTGTTCTGCTTGGAAAAGTGCTCACTTTCCTTAATTGATCTTCCTGGGATATATCCATTCACTTCAAAAGCTGGCCTGCCTTTATGTGTAGAAGTAAGGAACAAGCATGATGCAAGCCAGTTCATCAAATGGGTAAATTTATATATACCAATTTGGCAAGCTTAAATAAATATTTGTTCAAGAAATGAGTGAGAATCCTAACTTGCTCTGTAGCAAAACAAAAATGTAAAGAAGTCACATAAATAATGCTGTTCCCTGTTTTGTAAGTAACATAAAAGGTCTCTAAAAATGTATTGACTTCTATTATATAAAGGTGAAAGAAAAATTACTTGCTAAAACTCTAGGTAAGGAAAAAAAGTATGAAAGGTAAAAAAAATGTCACTTTTGTTTCTTTTGTCACAGTATAGTACACTTATACAGAATAAGCTGTGCAATATAAGACACTTGGTAGCAATTAAAAATTTAGTTAATTTTACTGTAGATAGCTTATATCAGTGGTGGCGAACCTATGGCACGGATGCCAGAGGCGGTACTCGAAGCCCTCTCTGTGGGCACACGTGCTGTTGCCCCAGCCTTGCCTCCCCCCCGCAACCCCCTCCTCTCCAGCAGCCCCCCTGAAGGAGAGTCGCCCCTGAGCGTGGCCCACGCGGAGCAGCGCAGCCAAGGACATGGCAGCCAGGCAGCATAGACAAGACTCTGCCCTTACACCCCATCGTGCACAGTTGATGCTGCAGGGGGCAGGCAGAGGGTGTGACCGCCATAGCGCTGCTGGGCGATCTGCGGCGGGCCCTGGAGATGGTGAGTGGCCCTGCGGGCAGGCGGGGTGGGAGATGGGTGGGGCGGGGCCAGGGGGTGGGGCGGGGGCGGGGCCATTTTTTGGGCACTCGGTCTCTAAAAGGTTCGCCATCACTGGCTTATATTATTATTGCAACAGGACAGCTATAATTCTATTTTCAAAATTCTGTTTTGCTGGTCAGTGACCAAAATAAATAAACTACAAGCCTGTTAGGGTTAGTGTTTTATATACTCCTAGAAGTCTCTGCCAAGTTTTTCAGAATAAAGGACCATCCTACACTGATATTTTAGGGGGAAAAAAACCTTTTAAGCATTTATATTTCTGAATCTTTGATCCAAGATATGGTTTCCAAGAAATTTAGGGAAATTATATGGGATAATTATAGCAGGCTCAGATGGTTTAACTTGATTAATTTAAGACTTGTAGACTTCAACTCCCAGACCAAAATCACTCAGAAAGATTGTTTTCCCGATCAAACAGGCAATGAGGCACAGACGTTCTCCATCGCTTTGCTTTTGCGTAATTCGGTTTTTTTCTAAACCGAATTATGTATTTACTTATGCAAAAAGCTTTTAAAAAAATCACTTTGATTGCTGTATTGCTAACCAAGTAAGCCTCTACTTCCCATGTTGCCTGAAGATTCAGTTACTTATTTTGTACCGCAGTTTTAACTATTTTGACTCAAAAATTCTTTGGAACAAACAAGCTGGTAATTTCCTCCTGGAGATCCCTACAGTCCTCCTTGGTCAACTAGGGCTCTCTGACTTTGAAAAGAAATTACTGGTAAGCCAGTTCAGAAAAGAAGATGAGTCATGAAGCAGGTCAGGGGATATGATTGCCATTTGAGAAGAATTAAATCACGGTGTGGGTGTGGGTGTGTGCGCACGCGCACTCATTTGAATGTACCTAATACACAACCACTCACTGCTGTGCTATTCTTGACTTCAACTGAAACATAAAATATTTTCTCTCTGGGTATGCCCCCGTGGGTTGATACTAGTGGTGGGATTCAGCCAGTTTGCACCAGTTCGGCAGAACCGGTAGCTAATTTTTTGTTGCCCAGGCCCAGACCGGACTTCCGGAAGCGGCATCCACACAGAGAACCAGTTGTTCCCATATTTGAATCCCACCACTGGTTGACACACACCGATTCTCATGTGGTTGGAGTGGGCTTTCCTCATTCAAAATGAGAGGCAAGAAAGTTCTAGAGAAAGATTTAAGTTTTGCAGCAGTCAAATGCACTTTCTCCTTATGGCGCAAGTTGGACTTGGCAGCCATTAAAGCTGCTGTGAGATTTGTATCTTCCTGATTTTTTCCTCCATCCTGCTGCCTTGAGTTGCCTTGGTTTAGAAGAGAGGTTGTGATAGGCCTTTGTCGACATCAGCATTGGATTAGTGACCCTGTCCCGGGATCCCACAGGATGGCAGGGTGAAGCATGTATTCACTGTCGAAAAACAGGGGTAGTCAACCTTGGCTCTTTTATGACTCGTGGACTTCAATTCCCAGAATTCCTGAGCCAGCTTACCTGGCTCAGGAATTCTGGGAGTTGAAGTCCACGAGTCATAAAAGAGCCAAGGTTGACTACCCCTGGTCTAAAAGATGGCACAGAAGGGAGCCTGCCTGCCTTTGAAAACTATGGAGGTAATGCATTGAACGTATTCTATTAAATAAGCTGAGCAAGATTTTGTGGCAAAGGCCTACTTCTAACATACAAATCACGTGTGGGCAACGGAGTAGTTTGCCTTTTGTGCCGTGCTTGCTTTTTGCAGTATATGTACTTAACAACTTGCTCCAGAACAATAGTGAAATTCTAATAATTAGGAGAGTGTCCCCACTGTGTGCTTAAACAGAAGCTAGCAACGCACATCAACTTGTTTACTTGTTCTATATTAGTTTTGTTGTGTGCCTAGTTTTTTACTTAATCTGTCTTGCAAATTCCTTTTCTTGTCTTTGAAGTAGCAGTCCTGAAATGCAATGACTGTAAACATTATTTATAAGTTTATGCTTTTTTTTGTTTCAATATTTAAATACGTTTGTCTTCTGGTTATAACCTTAAAGAGATCTGTATATATTTTTGCTATGTATTTATGTTTGGTTGCATTTTGATTGTATATTTTGCATTGACTTAAAATATTCTATATCAAGTACATTGTGACTACTGGATATGCCTAGAATTTTTTGTTACAAATATAACAGTTAAATTTCTGTTGTACCTATCTCTTGTCTATTGTGTTTTTATGCTGCAGAAACACTCATATATCACACTAAACCATAAACTTTAGTATAGCGCCAAGTGGAGTCAAACAAACCATATACTGTTCTCTACACAGCTTTCCAGGAAGCAAAAGGCGAGATTACCCAGAACGTTGCTGCAATTTAGCATCCTTGCCTAAGATTAAGTTCTATTTAATGGAAAATCCTTGTTTCTAACTCTGAAAAAGTGCCTTCAATAATGGCAAAAGGGGAATGAAGTTGCTTATTAAAATGGCGCATGGATCAGTCTTCCCCTCCTCTTTATCTACAAATATCTCTTTTCCTTTTCTCTCCCTGCTCCCAATATTGTCTGCCTGTCCACCATTAGTCAAGACAATGCAATAGCTTAGCATTTATGTCCTGTCCCTTCCTCCCTCCCTCCCTTCTCTGAAAGCTTGATGTTTCCTTGACATTGCCAATATCTCCCTTTTGGAAGAAGATGGGGCGGTTTTAAATGCTTCCATGCCACTTATACATTCAACTGTCAGAAGAATAAAAAGAACCAGTGTTTTTTCAGTCACTTATCACAAAGTTATAATTTATTGAGTTTATGGCACTTGAGGTGTCTTGAGGTGTCGGCTGATTTTTAGGCATATGGCTTAGTCCAGAGTTCCTTTAGAAATATTTCATGCTGTTACTGCAACATCGTCATCTTCTGTTTTGTTGATGGAAGAGCTTTGAGATGTTTCTGCAGAGATCCTCTTGTAATTAGTGTGAAATGTAACGATAAACAAACAGGATGTCAAAGTGGTAATTCCAGCCATCACTAGTGTTGCATCTGTAAGAAAAAAAAAGAATATTCTTCAGCCCTTTATTTTAAAAAACATAGAAACAAAATCCAATAGCTCTTGAACTATGTTTAAATAAGTTTCATTTAGCTACCTAGTGGGAGGAATAATGCATAGAACTACGGCATATTGAATATTTAAAACTACCAGTTATAGAGATTTTACCCAAATCAGTTGCAGTTTGAATTATTATTGCGGAATTGGTATTAGTATTTTGTAAAACAACATATGTCACAAGAAGCTTACTAAAATTGTATGAGAAAGTCATTTAACCAAAGGTACAATGATACACAATAATGTCTTTAATTACTGTTTGATGCACAAACCAAAAAAAGTTCATCCAATAAAACACCCAAAGTATATACATCTGCAACACTGACACTAAACCTTGACTAGACAACATTTTGGCAGCAAGGCCACATTTCCTAATTTTGGACAAACGAAAAACTGCTGATGGAGAGAGGGTGAGGCCATAATAAATGTTAGAGTGGCCACAATTCCCCAATCAAGAAATTATCAAGTCAGACAAACAGTAAACAACCAACCTAATCAACTACGAAGAACAACACTCCAGCCAACACTGATAGGGCAAGCAACAACCAAGCTCAGAGAGCACCACAGGGACACAATTCTTTCCACTTTTTTTAAATAAGGGGCTTGGAGTTGTTGTTTTTTTAACAAAAGTTTAATAGAATATCCTACAACTGTTGTGTACCATCAAACTTAAGTAGCTTGATCAAAGAAGCTGCTGGAATCCTTAAAAGGAATTGGGGGCACACCTGACTGGTTGCCCACAAATGATCTAAAACAGGGGTAGTCAACCTTGGCTCTTTTGTGACTCATGGACTTCAACTCCCAGAATTCCTGAGCATGCTGGCTCAGGAATTCTGGGAGTTGAAGTCCACGAGTCATAAAAGAGCCAAGGTTGACTACCCCTGATCTAAACAATAAGATGAAAGGAGTTTGTTTTCTGTCCTGGTACCAGCCATGATATTTTATTCATTTTATATCCCACCTTTATTTATTTTTATAAACAACCAAAGACAGTGAATATATTTAATGCTCCTTCCTCCTTCTATTTTCCCTATAGCAACAACCAATAGTGAGGTGAATTTGGCTGAGACAGAGTGACTGGCCCAAAGTCATCTATCGAGCTTTCATAGGTAAGATAGGACTAGAACTCACAATCACCTGGTTTCTAGCCTGGTGCCTTAATCACTAGACCAAATTATATATGGTATTTGAGTTGAACTGCCATCATTTTATAACAATCACATTAGCACACTACAAAGTCAGAATACTAAAATTTTCTTCTTAAATAAATATCAGTGGGTATATCAACCACCTTTGATTTAACCTAATATTGCCTATTTCAGCAGTCATTGGCTAATTTTTTCTCATCAACATCTGGGTCCTTTCACTTGGGAAATGCTAATGGTTGAATCTGGAGCTTTCTGCCTTCAGATCAAATACTCGGCTACACTTGAGCTAGAATTAATCCATCAAGGTTAAGAAATAAATGACAATATCAGAGAATTAAATTGAACGGACTGCTTTCAAATGGCAAGTAAATGATTGTATGCTTGATTCTTCCCTATTATGATAGCATAAAGAAAACATGCTGCATTTATGGTGATGGAAGACCCTGACAACATGATGGCGTACACTCCAAGGGTGTGTGGATCTGTTCCCTGTTTGATCAATCAGAAATATTATGCTTGACTAATCAATCGGAAATATTCAACATGACTCTCATTCCTACAATTTGTGACTAGCATCATTCTGATTTGCTGATGTCACCCCCTTTGACCTCATGTGGTACAGCTCTACGAGAGCCACAGGATACAATGCTGCTAATTATGTAGCTGTACTTAAACCCTAGTGAGAAATGAGAAAGACCGAATAACACAAGGGCAACGTTTTTGCTTTTGGATCATTGGTGAACACTTGCTTCATTTATTTAAGACTCCATGTGTTGACATTCTGTGGCTTTAAGCAATTTGCAAACATCTATACACAGTATATTTTTTTGCTAAAAAGGGGTGGTAAGTTAAAGTACCAGACTGGCATTCTTCACTACAGAAATATACTGGGAGATTTCAAGTCACTCCAATATATGCCATAGATTTGTTGCTGTAGGGAGAACGGGGGTAAGGGAGTCTAATATACATCACTATGCGCGCCTGAACAAAAGGATACATATCTAATGATTAAAATTCTAAAACTCCGAAGCTTTGAAAAACACCATCACATTTTCTCTAGGACTGAACCCTTAAAACCCTAGTAATCCAAGGCAAATAGCAGTCACAGTTGATTTTGTGTAGAAAACCAACCTAGGCATCTTCTAGATAAGATCCTTGGTTACTTCATCTACCTCCAAATAAAAGTCAATAGACTAAGCCATGTTTTATTTTTAAGGGAGGGGGGGTAATGGCCTATAAGCAACTCTTAGGATTTTGTTCAACTTTATGCACCCCCCAATGCTGGTGAAGAATCTGCTGGTACCTTCATGTGCTAACAAATCATTCCAAGGAACATACTTACTTGTCCAATCCATTGGTGGACCTAGAGATGGAGCACAGGTAGAGAAAGGGGCATTCTTTTTTTCCACCGCCAAGTTCTGGAACAGAAGTATGAACAGAACTCCTAGGATCTGGCTGTTGAAACAAAATTGATTGTTACCCATCTGGTGACGACAGCTAAAATACGTCTATTTTGAAGTGAGATTTTTTTCAGCTTTAACAACAAAGACTTGCTTTGGGGCTTGAAGTAGACCTTCAGGGTGACCCAGCTATTGATTTGCTGTAGAATCTAACCTGGTTTTTTTTTTCTTAGCTGGCATCAATAAGCTGCATGTTCCAAAATTTCTAGCTACCCCAGCCAAAGAAGAATGCACTGAAGATTTCTTTCCATTTTGGAATGAAGTAGTAGGAAATCTTCCTGTTTCTTTCTTTATCAGGAATCTGAAGGTAACTGTCCTTTTTTTCCATATTTATGGAGCAGGGGAAGAGTTTGAGAATATAGCTTTTCTTAAGTCACTAGAATACTCTTCGGTTTGTGAGTATATTACTACTGGAACTGGTGACACTGTAATAAAATAAAATCCAAAACATATACACAAAGTAACTACAGTGATCAATGAATCAGCAGGCTTTCCTAATAAGAATTCTTGCACTGTCCCTCTGCGCTGTTTTTTCTACTTGAATGAACAGTCTTCTCTTTTCTTCAATCTTGTGTGACTTGAATAGGTACCTGTTTTGTAACACAGCTTATGCATTCTGATTTATATGTAGCAGAGGGTTGAGAAACAAGAGCTTAAACCAAGGCCCAGATGAAAGAGCCATTCCCTCCTGGGAAACATTTAATTGTTTCTATTCTGCAATGTCCGACATTATTTTCCACTTTGCATACAAATCCTTTCTTTAGAAATGATTTTGTTTAGCTTCACTTACAAAGTGTGGGAGAAAAACAAGCTACGGTATTTAAATTTATTAGTGATTTCCCAGGATTTGGGCAAGTCTGACTCCTACTGGCTTCAAAGGCAAAAATAATCTGTCAGTCGTTGCTCCTGGAAGGGATATATTAGTTCAGTGTTTCTCAATCTTGGCAACTTTAAGAGTTGGACTTCAACTCCCAGAATTCCTCAACTAGCATTTGTTGTTGAATAACCCAAAGCCCAAAGACCTTGGTTCACATATAATGCTGGGCCAGAAACCATGCTTTGCTAACCACAATGGCTGGAATCAGCATCACACTAAACCCAACCTAAACCAATTATCCTAAAACCCAGTGAATGAATCCAGCTATTGTCCAGAGAAGATCAATTTCCATTTTCCACATCCAATTTCAGTTTCTTGAATGAATCTCTTCATCAGAACTAAGGAGAAACTTCCTGAGAGTTAGAACAATTAACCAGTGGAACAACCTGCCTCCAGAAGCGGTGAATACTCCAACACTGGAGGTTTTTAAGAAGAGACTGGACAGCCATTTGTCCGAAATGGTATAGGGTTACCTGCCTGAGCAGGGGGTTGGACTTGATGACCTCCAAGGTCCCTTCCAACTTTATTATTATTGTTATTGTTATCTACCTGGTCACAAAAATGATCCCTGACGACGTTCCTTCTCCTACAGGATAAGAGCATTCAACGTTTAGTTCCATGACAATGGGATACATAGAAAATCCAAAAAGCCCAAAAAGACTGCTGAATATTGCCACAGCATAGGTTTGGTCTCTCATCTGGGATACCTGCAGGAAGAGAAGAGAAAATAACCATAGCAAATGGGGAAGTCTCTATATTATGTCCAGCAGATATTCCTGCCACCCAGAGCATGCTACACATTTACAGTATATCTGAGCATGACAAATTAGGCAGTGCTGCTTTCCAGTTTCTCCCTGACACCAATGCATCCATTTAGATTTAGTTCTATAGATAATATTTCACTAGAGTGATGGGCAACTCCTGGGGTCAACAAGTCCGTGAAATTTTCTATGCAAAATTTTTGAAAAGTGGTTTGCTATTGCTTACTTCTTCCTAGCACTTGGTCCAGGGGTACTCAGCTGGTTGGTGCTTACGTCAGGACTAGAACTTGCAGTCTCCTGGTTTCTAGACTAGTGCCTTAACCACTACACCAAAACTGGCTCTCTCTTTAGATGAACTCAACATGAAAAGTAATATGGAACTTTCAACAGGGAATTATGGGAACTGAAGCCCCAATTCTTTTTGAAATTGGGGAAAGTTGGGGAAGTCTGATCTAAAGAAATAATAGTTTTTTAAAGCAATAATAACAAGTGTACTGATTAAGAACCCCAAAATATCCCTTGGCATTATTTTAACCACCAATACATTCATAAGAACTTTTATACTAGCTAAAAGTTGGTAAATAATATGGAATGATTAATGATCCTATGAAATGCTGACAAGGGTTCAATTTTTATTTTTCTATTCCAGAGTTCTATTCAATCTACTTTATCCTCCTAAGACTTCAGTGAGATAGCTTGCGATCAAAAAAGTGTGATGATTCTACTTATTCTATCTTCAAATATTCCTCTGATCTCCTTCAGTATCAGCATGAAAGTGAAAATATTACAACCTTCATTATATCACTTGGCACTGGAGGGATTAAGTGTTAATCAGTTCTTACTTAAACATCTATGGCAGTGATGGCGAACCTTTTAGAGACCGAGTGCCCAAACTGCAACCCAAAACCCACTTATGCATCATCAGGTGCCAGGTGGGTGTGGCCCATTGGGTGGGCGTGGCTGCGGTGGTAACAGCAGACTGGGTGGGACTAAAAAGTTCAATCAATCCCAACTTTGCAAGATCTTTTTTTTCCCGTGAGAAGTTGAAATTGACTGATTGATTGAACCTTTTTTTTTGTACATGGCAGCGAAAAGGTTTTATAAAACCCAGCTGAAGGCCTAGGACTGGGTCGACAGCGCGCGTGCCCACAGAGAGGGCTCTGAGTGCCGCCTCTGGCACCCGTGCCATAGGTTCGCCACCACTGATCTATGGTTACATGGAAAACACACTTCTGTTAATAATCACATTATAAGATTTAGATGATTAACTATTTCTTAGAGGGCAGGATTTATTCAGCTGAAAAGTTCATTATCTCTATAGAAGGGTAAACAGAAGCATTATTTCAGTTTCAAAATATACTTACCACTGCAAATCCAATGCAAGTCAAAGCAGATAGAATAAAACTGATTTTGGTAGTTTCTGTAAACTTCTTTGTCCTATCTACATATAATCCAAGGAAGAAGGCACCAATGAGCCCAAATATAATGAACAAGGCTCCAGTCAAACCTGCAAAAAACTGTACAAGATATTGGATTAGGGCACATAGTTGAACAACTTCATGGATAAGGGATAGTACTCTTTCCTTCTTAATTATTGGATTTATGACTAAAAATAATCACCACCAAGCTGTGACAATTTTAGAAACACCTGTACATTGAAGGAACTCGATACCTTGGATCTCCAGTTCTAAAGTATTGAGATAGATAGATGATCGATAGATCGATATAGAGATACATTATTTCTACTTATATATATAATACATATGCACACACAAACATATTAAGACAGTTCTAAAGTATTGAGATAGATAGATGATCGATAGATCAATAGATAGATATAGAGATAGATACATTATTTCTACTTACATATATAATACATACGGACACACACATATTAAGACAGTTCTAAAGTATTGAGATAGATAGATGATCAATAGATAGATTGATAGATATAGAGATAGATACATTATTTCTACTTACATATATAATACATACGCACACACACACACACACATTAAGACAGTTCTAAAGTATTGAGATATATACATATTGAGATACTTCAGTTCTAAAGTATTGACATAAAGTATTGAGAAGTATAAAGTATAGAACCATGGTGGGCAGTGGTTAGACTGCAGTATTGCAGGCTAATTCTGCTGACTGCCAGGAGTTCAATTATGACTGGCTCAAGGTTGACTTAGCCTTCCATCCTTCCGAGGTCAGTAAAATGAGGACCCGGATTGTTGGGGGGCAACAGGCTGACTCTGTAAACTGCTTAGAGAGGGCCGTAAAGCACTGTGAAGCGGTATATAAGTCTAAGTATTATTGCTATTTAAAATGTGTGTAACCATCTTTGTAGAAGAATGAGTTCAGAAATTCAAGTTAGTGATATTGGCAATATATTGAAGCCTGGAAATTAGGGAAATTTCAGAAGGAAAATAGAAGCCTCATAAGTCTTATAACATTATCAGGAGAGATCCTGGGTTCAGCTAAGTGACTTGTGGTTAATCTCCCAGCTTTAATGTTCTAAGAACTGGAAAGGCTAGATGTTATCTGTTTGGGAAAACTTTGAATCTTCATTTTATGAGTGGTTTTGAAATGCAGGCCACACAGCTGAAACATGTGGCATAATTTCTGAGCAGGATATGATAGAATACGATACGATAGAATACGATACGATAGAATACGATACAGTACACAATACAATAGTATAGCTTTTTATGACATTAACAAAAAAAGAGGATAACATTCTGATAACCAAAGTGGTTAACCAATAATTATAAAACCAATGTGATCAAAATTCTATTTTACAAATACATTAGTTAAGCAAAACTTAACCATATCCAGAGAATCACACTGATCAGACAATAATAATTGGAAATAAAATGAATTCAGCTGAGTAGAGGGTGGGCTATTGGCTGAAGCAGGAATCTTTGCAGTAAGGACAATCTAGCAAAACATGGCTTAGTGTTTCAACAACTTCACTTCAATGGCAGAAATTGTTATTTATTTAAATTAACGTTTCTCAAACTTGGCAACTTTAAGATGTGTAGCTGTCAACTCCCAGAATTCCATGGCAGAGATATAATACCCTTCCAAGGTCTTCTCTGAATTTGGGGGCTGTTATTTAAGTTTAGATCTCTTGCCAGCTTAAAAGGGGGGAGTGACTGGGAAGGCACAAATTTTGAGGTGGGACAGCCAGATCTAATTGGCTTTCAGATCTGCAGCATGCTGGTTAAGTGCTGCACTGGAGGTTTCTATTCAATCACTGGAATCTCTCCAGGTGAAAAACTAGCATTTTAAATGGTCATACAAAATCTTACTCCTGGGTGAAACAAAATCATCAATTAAAATCAGAGGGGCCAAATTCATGGGATGGGGAGAGGAAGTCGCTTTAATCAATATGAGAGGATGCATTTTATTTCAGCCAGTGAGCGCGACCAGCTTAAAACAAAATACAACGAAATTCGGCCATGTAAATGTCACGTACTTAAGTATGCAAAACAAAGCGTAAGTGCCCCATTGAAATGAAAATTAGGAACTAAAGATTAATCTAAAGACTTTCCCCAAAATTAATTATAAGTGAATTCTAAAACTAGAGTCTCAGTGTGTCATAAATTAATAAATTAACAATATAAATATAAATTGCACTATAAAACCTCATGATCTAAAAACTCAGTGATAAGTTACAGTTCATAGTTCATTCATGCGTGACCAAATATTGGAGTAAATATGAAAATGTTACTCATCTAGACCAGAAGTCATCAAAGCCTTGCTATAGTATGTGTAATGTGTAATACTGTAGGGCTTTTCTTACATGATAAGAAGAAGTTAACAAGCAACAACAAAGGAAAAAGAAACATTTCAGGATCTTTATAGAATGAAAGTTGTGACCGTGCCTGAAGGTGGATTCAACTGAGTCCATCAACTGATCTGGACCTGTTCTCCATTAGAACAGGTTTGACTAGCTTTGAGAACTTTCTTAAATCTCTTAGATAAAGACAAGCAATTTTATCTGAATCTTTTGCTGAAATGGAGAGATTAGCAAGTGGATATAATTAGCTGGTTTCCACTTAGGCTGATCAAAGTGTACTTGGATATGCTTCGGAATAAGGTCTCTCATTATAAGATTCAGTATCAAAAAGCCTTTCTCTGATAACTCTCTTAGCTTGTGCAAATTTGACAGAGTATAGGAAATCAAGAGAGAGGCTTCATGATGAAAGTTTTCTAACAATTGTCTGAGCCCAAGAGGATTGGAATTTATTCAATAAAAGAAATGAGATCAACTCTACTGGGAAATCATGTCATTTAAGCCAGTAATTTGAAAATTAATAACCAGGCTGTTTCCTCAATCCTTATCTGGCCAGCTTGTACTTCAGAATTACCTTGGATATGCATTTTTGGAGCTTGAAACACAGTTCTGATTGCCTTAGTGTGTCCTATTTCCATCAGCCTATACTTTAGGAAGGTCTACAGGGGATCCATAAAGCAAACAAGCCAGCTATTGGACTGCAAATACGTTTTAGTTGTGGGGATGCATTTTCTGCCTTTTATGTGAAAAAAAAAAGAAACTGAGGAGACCTAGATGATTTTTGGAATAAAATAAAACAGAAAATATTTGCCAGTAGAAGACTTGATCAGTTGTGTTTTCCTTTATCGTTGGACAATTTGGCACTATTAAATACTACCAATGTACAAGTTATCGAATTCTGTTCATATGGCTGCCCTCTGCTGCTGATGTATCATTTTAAAGAAATTGTTTATTTGTTTATCAAATTTATGTGCTGCTCGTCTCGCAGTTTGAGGTGGACCAATTATGCATTTGGTTCACACCACTATACAGGTGCTCTGTGTCCCCTTTTGCTCTCCAAAACTGTGTTCTTCTGCCACAGAAGCCACTGAACAGAAGAATAAGAACAGAAGAACAGAACCAAATGTAAGAAGTGCCCTTCAACGGTCAGGGTAAGTTAAATATTCATATCTCCCATTCTCCTCCTCCCACCAGACTCTTCAAATTAAATGCCCAGAAGGATCATGGCCAGTTTGGAGAGGACCTTTGGCATGCCTTGTGCAACCATTAATCACAAGTTCCAAAGATTCCCATGAGAAAAAGGCACTTCCTGATGTCAACGCTGCTAACACTGGGTGTTCTTGCTTTGACAACATATGAAGATGCAGCCTTTTTCTTTCTTATGCTTTACTCTTAGAATTAGACGAGGCTGTGGGAGGAGGCGGAATGTGGTAGGAGTTAGTTAGACATAACAATATTGTACTAGTGTGTGAATTCAGAGCTTGAAATAAGAGATGATAAGAATTGGCAGGTTAGAGAATAGGAGGGAAAGCCTGCAATTCAAACTAATTGGAGAATGTGATTTATGACTGTTAATTGGAGGAGGGAATTGTGTTTTGATACTATGTGCTCAGGGGAGGGGAATTCAGATTTCGGCTTCGACCATGTACGTGCCGATGCCATGCAACTTGAATAAAGATTCTTTAAGGTAAACAATGCCTCGAAGTTCTTTGAAGAGTTTCATCTGTCGGAACCATGACATCCTGGTTTCCCATCAGCACTGTGTCTCCCACTGCCACATGTTGGAAAGAAACCTTCCAAGGTGGGAGGGCTGAAGCAGGGAATTAGTCTGGATCTATTAGGTAAATATAAGAGGGCACAATCTGACTCCCACTGAATACCTTTAAACCTTATCTGGTCTTTCCCAGGCGAAAGCTGTCAAATCTGGGCAGATTCCTGTGCAACAGGCACACAACAATAAAGCAGTTAGTTTGAACTCTACACGTATGGGTCTGGTTAACCGCACCTGACAACCCATGTTTTCCTTATCCTACAACCCAATCTCACGTAGTTCCTGGTTGTCTTAGCTTCTCCTGCCATGAAGCCCCATGTTGGCAAAGACACATAAAAAGAAGAAGGGACTTACATTGGAATATCCATTGACGCACAGGATCTGTTCCAACAGAGAACTGAGACAGGTGAAGAGTGCTACCCCCGTGGCAAAGCAGAGGGTCAGGATAATGTAAGGCTTATTTCGGACCAGCTAAAGCAAGCACAATAAGAAAGAGTTGTTAAAAACACAGCACACTGTGCAAGATGCCAGTAGATGTTTTATTTAGTTTCATATTTAATTTGTATGCCGCTCACCTCACTTTACAAGGTGACTCTGGGTGGCTTATTATTACAATTATAAATATAAAAAATATTGAAAGACGTTCACGCCGAGAATAAGTTGCTGAATTTGCCTTTTGGGACTTCTGGCTTGCAAGGCTAATGTTCGGAAAGTAAGGTTCATATTCCAGAGAAATACCACTTTTAATGTGTGCAAGGGATGTCATGGCACAAGACATACCAGTCCTGCTTCCATTGTTCTGATCATCCTGCTTGTACTGCAGACACCATTAGGCATTTTATCAACTCCTGTCTGCAAACCGGAAATAGGCCTTCATTAGCCTTTGGTCTCATCCAGCACAGTTCTGGGAGAAGAATTGATTGATTCCTTAAACACTGACATAGGTAGTCAACCAGACTACCTAGCATAGGGGTAGGCAAGCTTGGCTCTTTTATGACTCGTGGACTTCAACTCCCAGAATTCCTGAGCCAGCTTGGCTGGCTCAGGGATTCTGGGAGTTGAAGTCCACAAGACATAAAACAGCTAAGCTTGCCTACCCCTGACTAGCAAGAAGATATTCTTTTTTGTTTCCATATAACCTAGATTTGGTTTTACACACACATACACACAAGCACACATAAATTTATATACTATCCATCTTGCTGTTTGGGATAACTATATATACAGATAGTCCTCGACCTATGACTGTAATAGAGCCCAGAATTACAGCAGTAAGTTGTGCCAGTCATTAAGGGGGGCATCATGTGACCTCCACCTGATTTTGTAACCTTTTTTGCAGCGATCATTAAGTGAACATAGCAGTCATTAAGCCAACACCATGGTTGTTAAGTAAACCCATTGTTTGCAATGGGCGGGTTTTTTTTTCTGAAAACTGGAAGAAAACGGCAAAGTAGGAAACAGTTTCTTAGTTGGCCGCAAAAAATAATGCATCACAAGTTGCAAATCACGTGACCACGAGACTCTGCAAACGGCTGTATACTGTATGTGGGCTGCTTGCTGAGCATCCAAATGCAATCACACGACAGAGGGGGTGGCAATTGTAACGGATCGAAAGTACCATTTGGGGGGGATCCGTCGTAACTTTGAATGTTTGTTGATCAAGAACTACCTGTAATTATAGTGGCAATCCCCATGGGTACTCCTTTACTTTGCTTGCAGCTTACCATTTTCAAACCTTCACAGAAAGTCGGTGAATTTAAATGATCGGCGCTTGCCGACGGTGGAGTTGGGGGAACACCACTGCAAACACCGAAGGTGGACAGGAGGCAGCCGAGGATCGCAGGCACTGCAGACACTCCAATCTGTAAAACAGGCACCCAGCCAAATTTTAAAAAACATCAGCAGTTGTGTAGTTTGCCTCCCAAAAGAACAGGTATATCGTGCTGAATTCTAAGTGAAATTTCATGTTCATTTACCAGTAAAGGGAGATCTTTCGCTTCTGGAGCAAGTGTCGGTGACAATAGGTTAACTACGAGCATGCCCAACGGATTGGCTAAATGGAAATGCAAAAAGAAAGGAAGAGATGATTGCAAACGATTTCACCAAAGTAAACTGGAACACATTCAACATGCAGGTGAACTGGCAGGGGAGCAAGTAGGATCCCCTTCTGTCCCATGCCTGAAGCCACAAATCTATTCAGAAGCTTTTCGTCGGACTTCTTGCTTCAGTAGAAAGAAGCAAATTGGGAAAGGGGAATTTTGGGTTGGCCTCATTTTTTTTGAAAACCCCTCTAAATGGGCTTTACGATTCTCATAAGGGGCACAATTGTGCGGCACGTGGAAAAAGGGGTTTATGTGTCTATTTCACCAAATCAGCCCTTGTGATCAAATAATAACTTTTCAGGTAGAAGACTAGCAAATCAGGGAGAGCCCCTTAATTGACAACTAGCAAAAGAGGACGAAGATTTTTCAGTTTGAGTCATTATCTGACTTTCAAGTGTTGTGGCCAATTCCGTGAGATCCCATCTACAGAATGGATCAGGACATACTGAGTTTCCCCGAAAATAAGACCCGGAGTTATTATTTTTTTTGCCTCCAAAAGAAGCATTAGGTCTTATTTTCGGGGGAGGCCTTACCTTAGGACCACCGCAGCCAGGCCNATTTTAGCGGGGTTTTTTAAGGGTAATTTTAAGGGTAATTTTAATGATTGGCCTTCTTAAATATTTTCTTTTAATTCGGTTTTTAATATAGATATTATTGTATTATTGTATTGTGGTTTTTATGAGGCTGTTAGCCGCCCTGAGTCCTATGAGGAGAAGGGCGGGGTACAAATTAAATTATTATTATTATTATTATTATAAGGTAAGTGGGTGCGAGGCGCGTAGGGCAGCTCCAGCCCCCACCCCACCCCACCTTGATTTTTAGGCATGCGCCTCACCCCAAAACTAGGTCTTATTTTGGGGGCAAGGCTTATATTAGGCCCACCCCGAAAAATCAAGCTAGGGCTTACTTTCAAGGTAGGTCTTACTTTTGGAGATACACGGTAGATATATTATCTTTTTTATTCTTCCTCAGGAGCAGGCAGTATTATTTATTTATTCATAGCCAGCCAGAGTCACTTAGGTAAGATACCATGAAATAATTAAATAAAATTGATATTCAACTCAATTTAATTAGCAGCATGATTTCTGGAAAATATAGTATAAGTATACCTAGAGCAGTGTTTCTCAACCTTGACAATTTTAAGGCATGTGGACTTCAACTCCCAGAATTCCACAGCCAGCATTGCTGGCTGTGGAATTCTGGGAGTTGAAGTCCACATGCCTTAAAATTGTCAAGGTTGAGAAACACTGACCTAGAGTGTCGCAGATGGAAAATATCATGAATATAGATGAAAGATGTAACCTCTGGAGTTATACTTAACCTTTCTTTCTCTTTGGGATGACCCTCTAAACCTGTGTTTATCAACCTCAGCAACTTTAAATTCTGGGAGTTGCAGTTTCTCATATCTTAAAATGGCTGAGGCCGAGAAACACTGCTCTAGACATTACTAAACTTCGATTTCCATCTCTCAGCATGGTCAGTGGCAAGAAATACAGGAAGTCCTACCTCAGCAACATCCGGAGGGCCACAGATTCTCCACTCTATTTATATATAGCAGTGGTTCTCAACCTTTTTAATGCCGCGACCCCCAACCGGTCGTAAGTCGAGGACTAAACCGGTCGTAAGTCAAGGACTAAACCGGTCGTAAGTCAAGGACTTTCCCTGCCCCCTGCGCCGGCCGAGGCGTAGCTGGCAAGCGGCAGAGACGGAGCAGGCCGACCACCAGCTGGCCCAGCTCAAGGGAGGTAAGGCACCCACCGGAAAAGGGGAAAAAAAATGGCGGACAGCCTTGCTTGGCAACCCCCGTGAAATGGTCGATAGACCCCAAATGGGGTCGCGACCCATAGGTTGAGAACCGCTGATATATAGTGTTTTAGAAAAGTTCAAAAATCTAGTATGTACATCTTCACAAAAATAGCCCTCTCCAGTAAGCTAGTAATAAACTCTTGCAGCCTCAATAGGGAAAGTGTTGTGTTCCCGAGAGAAGCGACATCTGAACCCAGGGCTCCCATCTCCCTCAGCTATGGAATAACTAGGACGGACTCATCAATGCTCAGTTACTTACACATAGAGGCAATCATGTTGGCTGTGGCTCGTTGGTCTTCAGGGAACCAGAGAGCTGCTAGCTTAGTTGGTGCAAAGATGATGAGTGGCTGGGCTCCAGCACAGAGACACTGTCCTACAAGAAGGTAGATGTAGTTTAGGGAGCCTAAGCTCAGGCTATCAATAACACTGAAAACACGAATGATGCTGCCCACCATATTGAGCCAGGCGCAGAGTAGCACCTGCAAGAGAAAAAGCCACACAGCCAGGGTTAACATAAATCAAGTCTTCCATGACCTGATGCTAACGATGCTGAGTAACGATGCTAAAAATGCCCTCCTGTGTTATATTTCCAAGTGTGTAACCACGTACTTAATAGAAGGCTGCCTACTCTTTGTATTAAAGAGCATGAGACAGCTAGCCCATGGTGAGGCAGAGAATCTGGAAGATGGGCAGGGATATCCTGTGGCACAAGTCTTACCCAGCATAAATTTCAGTAAGTGACGCAAATGAAACAAGTGGCACACTGATAAAGGTATAACAACGAGCTCATCTAGCTCTGCCACTGCCGTGCCACTAGCTGCCAAACAACTGATGGGTATCCTAGGCTTTGCAGCCCAACTCTGCTCTCAGCTGGTTTGCTAAATTCCAGAAAATTTAACAATTGCTTTTTACAAGCCAGTATCAGCCAGCTGTGGCACACCACTGTATGTAAAGCATTCAAGGAATGACATTCCCTCTCTGAAATAATGAAAGTGGGCAAGGTGCTGGACGCTGTCCATGGTCCTCAAATGTCAAGACACTCTCAGCTCATTCTCAATAGAGGCGTTTTGGGCATTAGTGAAAAAGAGGCCACGTGCATGCAGGAGTCCTTGCTCAATTGAAGCTGGATCGATTCCATTTGCAATTGGGTAAATGAACCCAAAAGTATAGGGCCGGGGTAGGCAACCTCGGCTCTTTTATGACTCATGGACTTCAACTCCCAGAATTCCTGAGCCAGCATAGCTGACTCAGGAATTCTGGGAGTTGAAGTCCATGAGTCATAAAAGAGCCGAGGTTGCCTATCCCTGGTATAGGGCTAGCTGCAAGCAGGCTCTGTCCACCAATACAGAATTTGCAGTGGCTGGGATACAGCTAAGGACAGCTATTAAGGCATTTCCAAGCAAAGTTATATGTTGATGATCAAAGATTAGTTTTCAAACACAGTGAAATGAGATGGGAGGATCCCTACTCCGTGGGCAGAAAGGAAATGGCAGCAAACCCAGATCACAATGTGGCTGCTAAACAAACATTCGCAGAAAACTTCCTTGAAGTCATTGAAAGTGATTGTGCAGCACTGTGTTCTGGGCATGTTCAAAATAACATTTTCCAGCTCCATGGAAAAATCCCCTCATCCCTGGCTGCTGAAGAATACATGTACAAACAAAGGATCCTATCGCATCTTTTAGGACGTACACTGAAGGCCAAAACTAGGTGATGTCTTCAACTAGTGTCCATATTTGTACTCCCTGAAGTATGGGCTATAAACATGGGGTGGGCTATAAACACTGTACCAACCAGCCAAATATACGAATAAATAAATGCACCATTTTAATACTTTCTTGAGTCTATTGCTTTGCGCCTATCTTGGGATTCTAGTTCCCAGAAAATCTGTTCACCCTATGCTGGCTGTGATTCTGTGAACAGAAATCCCAACATATATAAAAGCCACCAGACTGGGAAATGACAAACTAGAACTTTGATACTTTAATGCTCCAGTATTAAAGTAGCAGTTTTTGAGTATTTAGTTGGGTGCTTTTGATGTGATTCAGGTTTGAAGTGCAGGCGTGGACAACTCTTTCTCTACTTCCCCAGTTGCAATGAAAATTCATAACACATTCCTCTCATGAACTAATTCAGGTGTCTCCAAACTTGGCAGCTTTAAGATCTGTGGACTTACTCCCAGGATTCTGGCTGGGGAATTCTGGGAATTGAAATCCTACAAGTCTTAAAGTTGCCAGGTTTGGAGACCCTGAGCTAAACTGCAGTGTGTTTGCAGGGGTGCACACAAACACACACAGAGAGAGACATGTTTTTATTAGAAAATTGAGTGGAGGGAAAAAAATCCAAACCAGGTCCCAAATTTATTTTTTTTGTTTTTGTTTCTTAATGCAAAGAAAAAGCAAGTATGAAATCCATCTCTCCCCTTCAATCAAACATCTCATTGTTTTGCACTGCTGTCTCCATGCCTTACAACCTGCCACACGTCTCAATGCCCCTCAGTCACGGCTTCCAGTTGTGTAGAGTCAGCAGTGGAACGTGAGTCATCTGATTTTGGGGGAAGCTCATCGGCCAGTTCTGATTTTCTAGTGAAGCAGACCCCACCAATTTTTGGAAAAATCCTGAGAACCCATTCCAAAGATCATGATAGGGTTAAACCAACTCATGCTCATCTCTGTTCTGCTTACAGCACATCTAAGTCCGATGGTGTCCAGGATCCATATTGCTAGAAGCCCCACAGGAACTGATACCACAAAGTACACAATGGAGAGCCAATTGACCATATCCAGTGAGGTGTGGAATCGTTCAGCTGTTATGTCAGCCACTGGAGCAAAGGTCAACCATAGCTAAAGAAAAGAAACGAGAAGAACAAAACATTGTCAAACATTCAGGCACCCTTTTTTGTGAGTACTAAAATCAAGGCACCTTCTAAGCTACGCGCACTATGGTTACTTACATCTTGTATATAATACAACATTTTCAACCACCCTGTATCATTTATCATCATCATCATCACCACCACCACCATCACCACCCTCTTTTGGATGAATATCCAACAATTCTGAAGAATGTGCTTAAGACAGTTGACATCAAAAAGAATCCTACTTGTCTCATCAACAACATTTACAGTAGAGAAGTATGAAGATGGCCTTAAAGAATGATTTCAATAGCTGTTATGCAAACACAACTCAGCCCTAAAAGGGAGGAGTAATAAAGAAACTCAAAGCTGCCTTGCTTTGATTCTCTTTGGTATAATATAGGGATGAGAGAATCTAACTCAGAGTTTCAAAATTCTGTTATTGTACCATGAAGCAATAAAGTTGAGTTATGCTGGTTCTTGTGTCACTGGTTTCCTGACCAGGTCTATTTTGAAGGGTTGACAGAGTATTATTAAAATTGAAATGATTTGCTAATGAACTGGAATCAACTCCATTTGATATATGTATAGATTCAAAACAACGTGATCACTGAAATCAGAACATTTATATGTCTTTATATTATATCAGCCTAACAGAATCTGAAATAGTAAAGTTGGTGGGGGGGTTTTTAACCACCAATGAAGATGTCCATTTCAAAATAGGACATCTTCACGATCAGATGTTAAAACCTGGAGCACTAAAGTTTACTTATCTGTAAAGTTACACTCCATCACAGAAGACACAATAATTGTTTGCAGAATATTGTGCAATAGGTTTTCCTCTAGCCTTAGAAATACAGCCCTTGAAACAAAAAAAAAATCCAGATCTACTGTAAGATATAACCAGGTTCTGCATGCTGATTCTGAAGTTGTGGATTTGCGTTCAAAAGCTGGAGCATGACAATGATGGCTTGGTTGTACTCAAGAGATGCTGATTCGTTTCGGATTTATCTAAAAGCTCAGGTCCTTTTCAGCTCAAAAATCATCCTTAATTTATTTAGAACAATGATGAGGGTCTTTAGCCTTTAGGCCAAGTGAAAGCCAGCTCATCTAATCTCCAAAATTCTGCCCCTGACCACTAACCCTAGAAAGACATATTGGAAAAAGATATCTAGTGACCAAAGCCAGGTCTCAAATCACAGTTCTTCAGGGTATTTCCAACTGTGAATACTTTCAGTCTCTGGCTGAAAATATATTCCTGGCTGTTCATGTAGTTTCTTCTTGGGATCTGGAGGACATCCGTGAGAGGGCGCACAATTCTGGGCTTCCCCGTTGATGTCATCTGGCTCCAAGGAATAGGCTTGGCCTGGAGTTAACCTTTTGGATCAAACCTGGTTCCTTGACATTTCCCTGCAGCCTAGACCCATAGGGTGACATAGGAAAAATAACAGAGGAAACGCAATGGAAGGTCAGCAAAGGTAGTCATAATAAAATGCAGCGTATGTTTTTTTCGGAGATGGAAAAGAGTGCAATAGATATAATTTAAGATAATCAGGGATGAAGCATTACTTCAGTGTGTAGGATATACCAAAAAATAAGTTGGTAGTAAAATGATATACTGAGTTTAAATGCTCAAGTTAAAAGATACTATAAGGCAAAAAAAATATATCCATAAGATATTCCTCAGTTAGAAAAGCCTTCTTTTGAATAGCTAGTTGGCATGCAAAGATACTTGGAACAGAGCTTCTCATGTTGGCTTCAGGATTTCAAGGGATGTAGATACATTACCTAGGATAGTTACATTGCCTTACTACGGTACCACTGAACTGGTTTCCTTCCATGTAATTGGTTATTCCTTTCATGAAATTAGTAATTAGTTGCTGTGAGTCAAGTTGCATATAAATTTAATAAACAGTAATTACAGTAATTATTCTCACATTATATCTGATTGAAAAGCTTAGGGATTTATAAATTGGTATATCTGATCTAAGAGGTGCAACAAATCCAAGGTCAACATCAGCATTAGTCTGATTTAGTTGTCAAAACCCAGCAATGTCGTGTCCATCAGCACTGTGTCTTCTGCCCTTCCAAGGATGATCTACAAGCCCGTCTTAGATAAAAAATCCTACATCCACAACATTCTCCATCATCAAGCGCGCGTAGCCCTGAACTGAAACTGCTAAATGTAATGAAGTTTATGAAGCTTTAAATGAGTCAGGCAAAGTGACAGGACCAGCCAAGCTAACTGTAACTCAAGTACCATAATCCCAAAAATAAAACATGCAGCATTTGAAACTGGGAAAACAGTCAGCAGAGAGGAAATATTTAACGGGTAGATTTTTTTTTTCTTTCCAGCTTTTCCCCCCAAGTGCATGGTCTGCTTTTTTTTTTTAATCAACCGATTAAAAATGCGCTCCGCAAATGGGGCTGCTAGCACTGGCATGAGGCTCGCAGCTCACGGCTCAGCTAGCACTGGACCGAGGCTCGGGGCTCAGGTAGCACCAGCTTGGGGCTTGGCTAGCACCGGTGCGAGAGGGGGTGAGCACGCGCACTGGCCAGCCACTCACGCGGCCTGGTGGCCAAGAGGCCACAGCCCGGTAGTAGGCTGTGGCCCATAGGTTGGGGACCTCTGCTCTAGAAAGAAGGCAGAGAAGAGCATTAAAGATGATTAGGGGACTGGAGGTTAAATCATATAAAGAACGGTTGCTGGAATTGGGTATGTCTAGTTTAATAAAGAGAAGGACAAGGGATGGCATGATAGTAGTGTTGCAATATCTCAAAGGTTGCCACAAAGAAGAAGAAGCCAAGCTATTCTCCAAAGCACCTAAAGGCAGGACAAGAAGCAGTAGATGGAACCTAATCTAGGAGAGAACCAACCTAGAATTAAGAAGAAATTTCCTGACAATAAGGACAATTAACTAGTAGAATGGGTTGCCTTCAGAAGTTGTGGGTGCTCCATCACTGGAGGTTTTTAAGAAGAGATTCAACAGCCATTTGTCTAGAATGGTGTAACGCAGAGGTCCCCAACCCAATACCTCCCCTAGCCCACTGAGATATCTCATGCTTCCCTCTCCTAATCCTGCCCAACCGAGTCCCTTTTACTTTTGAAAATCTTGATGAGCTGTCTCCTGTCCAGCCTCTCTGCTACGATTTCGCCTTAAGCAAAGGCTTGCCGAAGCCTAGAGGGAGACCGTTCTGATCATCTTTGCAAAAAGCCCTTGCTGCCGAAAACCAAGCTGTGCCGAAAACCGAGCTTAGAAGGGACATGGCAATGGCTCCGTTTTCAGTATGGCTCCTGTTTCAGTGGCAAGGGCTTTTTGCAAAGATGATCAGAGCCTAGAGCAGGGGTAGTCAACCTTGGCTCTTTTATGACTCGTGGACTTCAACTCCCAGAATTCCTGAGCCAGCACAGCTGGCTCAGGAATTCTGGGAGTTGAAGTCCACGAGTCATAAAAGAGCCAAGGTTGACTACCCCTGGCCTAGAGGGACGCAATCTCCCTCTAGGCTTCGGCAAGCCTTTGCAAAAAGCCTTTGCCAGCAAGAATGGAGGCCGGGAGAGATGCGGTGGCCCCTCCTGGGTTCCATTCTTGCTGGCAAAGGCTTTTTGCAAAGACAACCGGCGCCTACAGGGATGCAATCTCTTACCTTTGCAGGCTTCAGCAAAGGAAAAGGCAAATGGAGGGAAAGCCTGAAAAACCAAAGCCTTCCCTCCATTTGCAAAGCCTTTTGCCACAGATCTCGCCCAGGCCTCAATTCGCAGAGAACAGAGGCCTAAAGTAGTGCAAGATCACGCGAGATCAGTCACGCGAGATCTCGCGCTACCGATCTCACGTGAGCATGTAGTACTTTAGGCCTCTGTTCTCTGCAAAGACACCGAAGGCCTGAAGGAACAAAGCAGGCAAAGAAACTGAAGACTCGCTAGATCTTCGCAAGGTGAGTCTCCACGGGGGGGGGAGGGTAATAGGCAGGGCAAATATTGCAGTGCCTGTGTGGCCCCTTCATGAGGGCGAACGACTGCTGTGGTGGTGCAACGTTCGTAACTTCGGGACTGTGTCGTAAGTACTTGGGGAAGGAGTTATGTCATAACTTCAAACGGCCACTAAGTGAACTGTCATAATTTGGGGATTACCTGTACTGAAACAATTAAAAAAATGTTGCAGAACTGTGTTCTCTATGTTCTTCTATAATAAGGGGTTAGTTTCTGCAGGTTTGAACCCAGTCAGAAAGGGGGGGGGTCTATCTTTTCTCTTCCCCCCCAAAAAACTTGAGAATATAGGAAAAAGTAGAATCACTGGATGAGTTCACCGCTGACAGCAGTCTCAGAAAACAATTTTAGAAGAGCTCCTGCTACTTTCATCGCTGGTCTTTTTGTCAGGCACAAACAACCAGAACCACACATGTAGAATTTAAACTAACTACTTTGCTGCCTATAATACAGGAATCTGCCCAAACTGCTTGCTGTCCTTGATCTATCTTGTTCCATGGTGCTCGGCAGGCTGTGTATGTGTGTGGGGGGGGGGGGAGGAGTTAGTCCTGGATCTCTTGTGGCCATGTAATGATTCAAGGCTAATTCCCCACTTCAGTCCTCCTCCCTACCTGGCCGGGCGTTTCCCGACAACTGCACTTCTTTTGATATGCTATTTGTAGGAAAACGGAGAGAGGCAACTCCTCGGTGTGCATTAATTATGGGGTTTAATTAGTTTCATTGAAGAGTGGCGGTCTAAGTGATGTCAATTGAGTAGAACAAATGTCAAAACAGAAGGATTTGTCACCGCACCCTGCTTACAAATATCCCTAGAGCATTCAGCTGCTTGCTGTTAGAAAGAGAATGACAAAACTTGTGGAGCTGAGCCATTAACGCAAGCCTAATGTTACATATGCTGGTCTATGATCGTAATAAAATTTTGACCTAAATGTTATGTATGGCAATTTTGAAATACACATCTACCTGTAATGGGAAGTTGAAACAAGAGGAAGAACCGCAACCAAGTCAGATAAAAGAAATCCGAGTTTCGGGCAGAAACATAAGTTGGTGATGAAACGTCTCAGACATGAACATCCCCAGTTCTTTTGAAGATAAAGAAATAGGGTGCAATCAGACTTACAAGATTCTGTTATTGTATAATAAAGTAGTATTAGCATTCATAAATCTGGCATCCTAGTCTGGTCTAGGTTGAAGGGCTGCTCTTTGGGAATGACCCTTCAGTAAGGGATGGAAATCTCCAATTCTTCTCATCCCAGCCAGGATGTTAAATTATTCCTCTTTCCATTACAATGAATTCAGAGAAAGCTGGAAAGCTGTGTAGCATGTCTTATGAGAGAGAAACCTTCCCAACCCCCTAATCATAAACTACGTTAATATATTTTATTTTGTTTCTATATAGTAATGGAGATCTGTTACCTTCCAGGAATTCTTGGACAGTAACTCCCAGCATCCTTCACCATTGACAGTAACTCCCAGCATCCTTCACCATTCACACTGCTAAGAACTATAGTCAAGCAACATCTGAAAAGCTCCAAGTTCTACTGAACTTGCCATTAACAGGTAAGTGCCAATGCTGCTAACATTGGATGTTCTTGCTTTGACAACATATGGAGATGCAGCCTTATTCTTCCTTATGCTTTACTCTTAGAATTAGATGATACAGGGGGAGGAGGAAGAATGTGATGGGAGTTAGTTAGACATAACAATATTGTACTAGTGTGTGAATTCAGTGCTTTTGAAATAAGAGATGATGAAATGGCGAGTTGAAGAACTGGAGGGAAAGCCGGCATTTCAAACTAATTGGAGAATGTGATTTATGACTGTTAATTGGAGGAGGGAACTGTGCTTTGATACCATGTGCTCAAGGGAGGGGAATTCAGATTTTGGTTTCAACTATGTTAGTGCCGAAGCTATGCTACTCCAATAAAGATTCTTTAAGGTAAACAATGCCTCAAAGTTCTTTGAAGAGTTTCATCTGTCGGAACCATGACAGTAAGTCACATGCTCATACTTGTACATAATAACAAATTTTACAAAGCAGGTTGTGAGTGCTCAGCAGCTATTGATCCTGACAGCTGATTGATAGCTTCGGCGGAAAGGAAGAGAAGTAGTACAGGTAGTCCTCGACTTACAACCACAACCGAGCCCAAAGTTTATGTTGCTAAGCGAGACCGTTGCTGAAGGGTCATTCCCAAAGAGCAGCCCTTCAACCTAGATCAGACCTTCTGTGACCTTCTGACAAGCAAAGTCAATGGTGGAGCCAGATTCACTTAACAACCATGTTACTAACTTAACTACTATAGCGGTTCTGTAGTAGACATTTGTGAAATGCGTTTTGCCCCATTTTATGACCTTATCACAGTTGTTAAGTGAGCCACTGCAGTTAGTATCCTAGGACACTGCAACCATCGTAAGTATGAACTAGTGTATGAATTTTGACCATGGGGATGCTGCAACGGTCGTTAAGTGGGGAAAACGGCCATAAGTCACTTTTGTCAGTGCCGTTGTAACTTTGAGCAGTCACTAAATGAACTGTTGTAAGTCGAGGACTACCTGTATAGCAGTAATAGTATGAAACAATGTAGCAGCTTCCATGTTCCTTCCTGCCAGAAATAGCACGCAGAGATGAAAAAGCATCTGAGAAGGCAGAAAAGGATTCCTCCATGGATGTCTCTCATTGTTGCCATGATCAACAGCTAGTGGTGGGAACCCAGAAATTTCAGAAGACATGGAAACCAAAACCATAGAGAGGGCTGTAAAGCACCATGAAGCGGTATATAAGTCTAAGTGCTGTTGCTATTGCTAAACCTAGGTCAGAGGTAGGCAACCTTGGCTCTTTTATGACTCGTGGATTTCAACTCCCAGAATTCCTGAGCCAGCATGGCTCAGCTTGGAAACCTCTCTCTTTCCCTTCAGCATGGCTGGTTCAGGAATTCTGGGAGTTGAAGTCCACGAGTCATAAAAAGGCCAAGGTTGCCTACCCCTGACCTAGGGGCAGAAGCTGAGTGACAGAATCCATAACCGATGATATGGTGTCCCTTGTTTCATACATTAAATTGATCCTCAGCAAATGTATATGACACGAAAAGTAGCCATCAATCAACCTTTAATCCCAGTGTTTCTGGCATACTTCCTCAATGCGAACAAATTGAGTTTACTTAAACTCACGTTTAAGTACTTAAACCATATGCTAAACAGGCCGCGGTATTGTGTATCCTTGTAAACCCATCCTACAGACCTGTTACGCAGATTATTTTGAGAACTGGATTAAACAGACAATGAAGATTAAGAATGCTCCTTGTACCGTGATTCCATAATCACTGAAGTCTTGGTAATCTAGAAAGATCTACACAATTTTAAAAGATTGTGTAGGATCTCTCCAAACTCTCCAAAAAAAATCACAGTATAGAAAATAAGTGTTTTTTCCCTCCTCCATAGTCTTAGAACTTGGGGTCGTCCAGTACATCCTGCATCCATGTGGGAAGACAATAAAAGGGCACTGTTCTTTGCACAATGGGGCATTGAAAATGGAATTTGCTACTACCATCTGATGATGGTCATCAGTTTAAAATAAATTTCAAAGGCTGATTCATGGAGAATTGACCTTTGGGTGGCTGTATCCTGCCTCCAAAATCACCGGCCTTTAATGGCAGCTGCAGGGAAGTGACAGCATTGGAGAGTTAGCAATGTGTTTAGTCCTAAATTCATCTACTTGGACCCCACAGCTTAATAGAGGGCTGGGCTAGATGGGCTATTGGCTTGAACCAGCAAAATGTGACTTCCATTCCTGTGCATTTAGGAAGTTTTGCAAGCACGGAACAAATAGGAGGCAAAATGCACTTTTTCACTATCACTCTGTGGCTGGCAAGGGACATGTCATATAAGCTGCCCAAGATGATACAGTATTAAAGCACTTAAATATGTTAAGTCTTTGAAGTGGCTGGCTCAACACAAATCCGTCTCCCGGTTAAAAAAGCATTTAACAACTTATGTGCCTCGGATATCTCAGAAGAGCTTTTTTCTAGGGATCATTTCCAACAACTGGACTCCAGGGGACAAGATAGATCAATGACAGCAACCTTGTGAGTTTCCACGGAGTTCGGTTTGAGGAAAGGCTGTGCATTTGTGGCACAGGAGCCACTGAACATCTGGGATATATTCTTTTTGCCTGCAAACTACATGCTGCAGAAAGAGCTGCTTATTTAGATGATTTAAAAACTAAAAAAGGGGTCTTATTTTTTGCAGGGAATGAACGTGCATATTACTAGTAAAATATGTGGCGAGATGGGCAGCAAGCAAATTTAATAAATAAATAAATTTAATAATAAAATAATCCAAGCCCATTTCAGACAGAACAAAAAGTTTAGATCAAATCGGAGTTAACTGTAGGGCTGATGACTTACTATGTACATGTCCTATTGTTTTCTTAATATATATGTATTAGTTTTATACATTGGTATGGTCAAATGACTAAATCAATAAAGTTTCTAAATAAGTTAAGATGAGCTGTCTGTGATTCCAGAAATGGAATACAAAACGAGGACATCTTATCCCAATGATTTATTTTCTCCCCACCTTTTCTGCACATCCCAGAAAATTAAGTATCTTTAGACTATTAAGCCTCCGTTGGTATACAAAAAAATAGCTATAACAAAACGATCAATTGTTTTATTCAGTCTCTGTTGGCTTTTGATGCAAATTAGATAATACAGGTGAAGCTCTGGCCCTTCACTTGGGTTGAAAGTACTAAGAGAGGAAGTGCATTCTGCATATAGTCAGAGGGTAGCTAATATTTATCAGGGTTTTTGTTTGTTTTTTACATTCAAGCCTGGAGTAAAACATGTAATAAAGCAAGGCTCTTATTGAATACAGAAGAATTTCAGAAGAGATCCACTTGGGTTCTTTTTCCAAGCCTGCTGCCTTCTGGATGTCTTCATCTCTACTTTTCAAAACCCTTAACCTTTGATTGTGAAATTAGGGCAGGGGTCCCCAACCCTGGCTCCGTGGCATGCCAGAACCCGGGCCTCACAAACAAGCGAAGTCGTGGGATGCAGGCAGCATGCGAAACCATGACCTCTCCGGTCCGTGGAAAAACCTCTCTCTCCACGGAACTGGTCCCTGGTGCCCAAAAGGTTGGGGTGGGGGAGGGAGCTGAATTTGGGGATTATAGGATTGGGGAAAAATGTATTCAACTATTAGGGTGCCTCTGCCATGAACCTCACTCGGCTAATTTTTCAGCCTACTTCAGAGGGCTGTTGTAAAGATCAATACTATAAGTCCTTAGCGGATAGCCAAGAAAGCAATGAAGTTAATTAAATTAATTAAAGAGACACCCAATTCGTTCAGCCCGACCTGGCGATGGAAGAAGACACGCATGAATCGCGTGTTCTCACGTTTCTTTTATCAGTCTCAGGTCAGACTACGTGTGCACTCCCGCTTAAGGAAATGCAAGGGCCTTTCCCCCAGGCAGGGAAAGGGGTAGAGAACTTCACATATCTCCTACAAACCCAAGTCCCCCCCCCCACAGACACATCTGGAAGGAGGCTGGGCTGGGAAGCGCAGCTGGGCAACTTTCCTCGCTTCGCTTTGGGGACGCCGCAGAAAACTCAATTCTTCCCCCCCCCCAAGGCACCAGTCCAAGTCAAGGCAGGCGGAGGCGATGTGATGATCGAGGCGTTGTGATTTACGATAGGTAGTAGACCGCCGTGGGGTAAAACAAAATAAAAATAAACCCGCCTAGCATCGTCTTGTGTACTGTGTACAAGATAGGCGTTTGCAAAGAAATGAATAAAAATGAGCCAGGACGGTCGCTCTGGGAAAGCGGGAAAGTAGGAAAAAAAAAGTCCCGACCGGCTCCCAGACAGAAGCGGCTGCCGGGGGAGACGGAGAAGCGGAGGAGGAGGAGGAAGGAAAGCGAAACTCCCGCTGGCAATTACGTACCATCGCATTGGAGCAGTTCACCACGCAGACGGCCGCCAGGATGACCCAGCGCCGCTTGTAAGCCTTGAAGGCTTGCTCCGAGGAAGGCTGGAGCTCTTGGTCGATGCAGCGGCTGTCATCCATCGGAGCGCCCTTCTTCGCGCAGTCCTCTCCCCTCCGCCGGCCAAGGCTGCTTAGTGGAAAGTCTCCGCCGCGCGGCTAAACACCTTCTGAGCCATCGTCTCCCATGTGCGGGTTTGCCTGGAACGTCGGAGTCGGCAAAAAAAAAAAAGGAATTGCCACATCACGTTAGGAGGGCTTGAAAAGCCGGTTTCCTCCCTGCGCTAAGCTCTCGCCTCCGCTGCTTTGGGCGGCGGCGGCGGCCGCGGAAGACTAGCTGACTTCTCGCCTTGGGAAACAGGGCCTTCTGCAGCCCGGAGCCTCCAATTGGGTCCGCGGGATCCTAGCGCCTGCCCTGTTCAGTCCCCGCCAGTCTGTTTGCCTCCGGCCTTGTTTTCAAGCTATGGCCGGTTGTCTCAAAGGTGTTTTTTTTTCATGAGGCAACTTATTTAGAATTACTTAGAACAGGGGTAGTCAACCTTGGCTCTTTTATGACTCGTGGACTTCAATTCCCAGAATTCCTGAGCCAGCTCAGCTGGCTCAGGAATTCTGGGAGTTGAAGTCCACGAGTCATAAAAGAGCCAAGGTTGACTACCCCTGACTTAGAATAACAAGAGTTGGGAAGGGACCTTGTAGGTCATCTAATCCAACCCCCTGCTCAAGTAGGAGACCCTATAACACAGTGTTTCTCAACCTTGACCATTTTAAGGCATGTGGACTTCAACTCCCAGAATTCCACAGCCAGCAATGCTGGCTATGGAATTCTGGGAGTTGAAGTCCACATGCCTTAAAATGGTCAAGGTTGAGAAACACTGCTTAACATTTCAGACAAATGGCTGTCCAGTCTCTTCTTGAAAGTCTCCAGTGATGAAGCGCCCACAACTTGGTTGATTGTTTTCACTGTCAGGAAATTTCTCCTTATTTCTAGATTAAATCTCTCCTTGATCAGTTTCCATCCTTTGGAAAGTAGGTTGTCCCCTTCTTCTTTATGACAGCCCGTGAAATATTGGAACACTGCTATCATGTCACCCCTGGTCTTTCTCTTCACTAGAGTAGCCATGCCCAGTTCTTGTAACCGTTCTTCATATATTTTAGCCTGCAGGCCCCTAATCATCTTTGTTGCTCTTCTCTGCACTCTTTCTAGAGTCTCAACATCTTTTTTATAGTGTGGTGAGCAAAACTGGATGCAAGATTCTACGTGTGGCCTTACTAAGGCTTTATAAAGCAGTACTAGTACCTCACATGATTTTGTGAATGCATACCTTTTTTGGCTATTGCTGCACACTGCTGGCTCATATTTGATTGATTTCCACTAGGACTCCAAGATCCCTCTAACAGTTACTGCTATTAAGCCAGGTTTCACCTAATCTGTACGTGTACTTTTGGTTTTTCTTGCCTAAGTGTAAGATTTTACTTTTTTCTATGTTGAATTTCATTTTATTAGATAGCGCCCACCGTTCTAGTCTGTTGAGATCCATCTGGATTTTGAGCCTATTATCTAGGCCGGTGTTGGCTATTCCTGCCAGCTTAGTGTCATCTGCACATCTGATGAGTTTCCCTTCTATTCCCCCATCTAAGTCATTTATGAAGATATTGAAGAGTACTGGGCCTAAGAAAGAACCTTATGGTACCTCACTGCTTACTTCCCTCCATGTAGATGTAGTACCATTAAGGGCAACGCATTGAGTTTGGTCTGTCAGCTAGTTACAAATCCATCTGGTAGTGATGCTATCTATCCCACTTTTTTCTAGCTTACCAGGAATTAGGTTGTGGTCTACTTTCCTCACTTCATCTTTGCAGATTCTGGCTATCTGCTGATATTGTGCTGATATTATGTGTCCTTCTTTCCGTTTTTGTACTTCTCCTTTTTGTTTTTCAGTTTATCAGAGAAATCTCTGTGCAACCAAGCTGGTTTCTACTTAGGTTTCTTGTTTTTCTTTTTCAGTGGTATTGAGCTGGATTAGACTTTTATGATCATATTTTTCAGAGTTTCCCAAGCTTCTTGGGTTGTTTTCCCCTTTAAAATTTTCCTCCAAGGAACCTTTCCCAAGCTCTGAGTTTGTTAAAACTCTAAGAGTCTGGCATGATTACATTCTATTGCTTGTGTTTGCATTATGTTGAATTTCAATATGACACAGTCACTCTCACCCAAGTTTCCTGTAATTTCAACTTCTATCACTTCTTCTCTGTTAGTAAGAATTAAGTGCAGTATGGCCTTCCCTCTAGTTCCCTCCTCTACTCTTTGGACAACAAAATGGTCAGCTAGGTTGGTCAGGAACCTGCTTGATTTCTCACTTGATGCAGAATTAGTCTTCCAGTTTATGTCAGGGTAATTAAAGTCCCCCATTACTACTATAATGTGTTTCCTATATTTGTTAGTTGGTTAGCAAAAAGTGCATCTGTTTTTTCTGCTTGGTTGGGTGGCCGATAGTATAATACAGGGCTTCTCAACCTTTTCACCCATTGTATCACTTTTAGGATATGGCAATATCCGAGTACCACCAGTCACCTAGCAAGGTGTCAAAAACTTGATGACCCCCCTCCCAAAAAAGGAAAAAAGTGATAAAGTACAGGTAGTCCTCGACTTACAACAGTTTGTTTAGTGACTGTTTGAAGTTACAATGGCACTGAAAAAAGTGCCCCCCAAGCCACAGCCGAGCAAGACACCTGCCTGCCCACCCAGTGGCGCTCTTCCTCCTGTCCGAGGTTTTCATTGTGAGCATTTCTGTTGAGGATTGGCAGTGAGGGTGGGGTGGGGGGTGTTTGGTTTTTATTCCCCCCGTCTGCTGGGTGGTTGCAGCAAGTTTTGGTCATTTCACATGACCCTGGGACACTGTGACCGTCATAAATATGAATCAGTTGCCAAGCATCTGAATGTAAATCACAAGACCCTGGAGATGCTGCAACATTCCAGCTGATCGGTGCTTCTTCTGGGCTCAGCAGAAGCACCAGGATCAGCACCGAGCTCCAGCTGGAGCCTGGCACTGATCCTGGTGCTTCCACTGAGCCCTGACAGCCCCAAAGCGCCATTCAGCTGGAAAGCAGCACTGATCCTGGCGCTTCCGTTGAGCCCTGACAGCCCTGCAGCTCCAGCCATCTCTCGCTCAGGCTTGTGCGGTGCTGCCACTGGTTCAGCTCATTCCCCTCCCCCGCTACCACTTTTCTAGGATGGTTGCGTACCACCTGCCAGGTGCCAATGTACCACAGGTGGTACTCGTACCACTGGTTGAAAAGCCCTGGTATAATACCTATGGCAATGTCATTCTTTTTTTTTTTCTTTTATATTGACCCATATGCATTCTAGGAGGTTTTCATCTTTGGTTTCATGCATTTCTGTGGGCAATATAGTGGTCTTTTATATATATTGCAACTCCATCTTCTCTTTTATGGGGTCTGTTTCTTTTGAACAGTTTGTATCCTTCTATCAGTATGTTCCAGTCATAGGTTACATCTTACCAAGTTTCGGTAATTGCAACTATATCATATCTGCATCTGAATCTCCATAGACAGCCAGGTCATGGTTGTCCCAAAGGTGCTTTTCAAAAGGCAACTTGGACTTTCTTGGTTTTTTTTCCTTGAAAATGTTTCGCATCTCATCCAAGAAGTTTCTTCAGAACCGATTTGATGGATGAGAAGCGAAACGTTTTCAAGGAAAAAAACAAGAAAGTCCAAGTTGCCTTTTTGAAAAGCACCTTTGGGACAGCACCTGGCTGTCTATGGAGATTCTCAGTCAATCCAGGTCATGGTTGTCCCAAAGGTGCTTTTTCCAAAAAGCAACTGCAGTTTGTTTTTTCCTTGAAGACATTTTGCTGAAGTGAAATAAAGGAAGTCCAGTTGCCTTTTGAAAAGCACCTTTGGGAATCATCTGGATGATTGAGAATCTCCCTAGGCATTCTCACCCTGCTGCTCAAATGAGGTGGAAGTGGTGGGATTCAAATATGTGAACAACCGGTTCTCTGTGTGGATGCCACTTCTGGAAGTCCATTCTGGGCCTGGGCAACAAAAAATTAGCTACCGGTTCTGCCGAACTGGTGCGAACTGGCTGAATCCAACCACTGGGTGGAGGGGTCTCCTAGGAGAAGCCTTAGTACAACCCAGTTGAGCCTATTTAATCTAGGCTTGGTTATGATAGCTAGGAACTATCTGAACCAAAGAACAAAGCATCTGAAAAGTCCCAGATGGGTGCAAAGACACTTCGATTATCCAGGAAGGTAGAAGACTGGAGAGTCCTAAAAAAGGATGTTTTTCCAGAAAAATGATTCCTTAGGCAAAGGATCAAGTCCTTGCTCCCCTTAAATCAAAGATGCAGAAAAGTTCCCAAACCAGTTGGGGCTGGTTTCTGAAGTCAGAAAAGGAATGGGTGTTATTATTTAGCAGCCTACTTCATTTGGCACAAGCAGGTGGACAACTGAGGCATCAGAGTTTGAGCCACACAAGAAGAAGAGGGGAGTCTTTTTTCTTTTCTTATTTTTTAAAAATATAAACAACTTCTAGTTGATTTCATCACTATTGCTGTAGGATTGCCAAGGATTGGGTTTATTTATTTATTTATTTACTTACTCATCTCCGTGCCAAGGTCTTGGCTGAGTTGTCACTTGCAAGAAGAAACCACTTGAGCTGTGCGTTGAGTAGAAAGATACCTTTTGCTGTTCCAAAGCATCACTAAGCTTTGGAGATTAACAAGCTGTGGGTACTCATGGATTTGAGGAAGCATATGGGGAGGTGCCATGTAGTAAACACGGTCATTTATCTGCTGAGTAATTCCTTGCCTCTTTTGTAAATTCTCCCTGCTGAAGCTTTTTATGAATATAATTGACTTTAGAAGAGAGTATTTGTAGCTCAGGGTTGAATTGTGGGGTCCTTGATGCTCGCTGAGCATCACCACCAAATTCAGGAAGCACCAAGGACTCCACAGTCGACCCCACAGTTGACTTTGCTTTCTTTCCAGGCTGGTGGATGAGCTGGACTATAGGTAGCCCTTGGGTTACAACCACTTAGTCAGCGACCATTCAAAGTTATGATGTTGATTTCTGATGTTCTCTGCCAACTTCCCACAAGCCAAGTCAGTGGGGGATGCAGCAGGAAGTTGGAAGTTGTGATCATATGAGGTCCTTGCCTTGCTTGTGCAATCCTTGTGAGCAACAGCCACAGGACTGCCAGAATTGCCAT